GTTGAAGAGTCAACTAGCAAAATAAAGAGAGATTAAGAAATTGAATGAATATGTTCTCATTTTCAAGTTTGTTGTTACTTAGTTTGTACATTTTATCGAACTTTAGCTTCTTTTTTTATTTATAACTTTTGAGTTTAAACATTAATATATTAACACTTTAAAAAAAAAGGAATAATTGAACTACTAATCATAATTTTTTTAAGCGACGGAATTAATAATAGAAGTTTGTCGCTAATTATTGATGGATTTTAATTTGCAGGTAAATTGTGATGGAACAATTGTGGCTAATTAGTTAGGAAATAGTTGGTGTTTATTCAGGAAATTTTTTTGTTGCTAATTTACCGACGGTCATCAATTCTATAGGTAAATTAGCAGCGATACTTTTATAGGCGGATTTACCAACGAAAAATTTCTATCCATAAAACACCCATTAACAATGGAATTTAGGACATCGGTGACAGAATTTTTCATCTCTGAATTCACAATTTTTTTAGTGAATTTAGAGTTAGAGTTGCTTGTGTTTTCTACTAAAAACCAAGATAATTGTTCAATGTTAGATGTCTTTTCACTGTAAATAAATCAATTTGATATTTTCTCTTAATTTTGATTCAATATTCCGTACTCTTTGGAATGAACATCAATTTCCGGCAATTTTTTATGAATCATAGAGTTTTTATTGTAAATAACTGATGTAGCTTTTCACTACATCATTTCGCCAGTATCTACTCCTTGAATACATCAGCACAACCTTTAGGTGATGACAAATGAAGAGGCAAGGATAATGATCTTGACATCAATTTGCCCGAGCATTGCTGCTATGTGCATTCTCAGATAAAGAATTAAAAATAACTCTTCTATATCAAGAATTAATGGACCGTCTTGAAGCAACAACTTCAAATAATAAATCCATCTCGCTCTCCAGGATGAAATCATTTGACATACATCTTTATTTATTTATATACAACATGAATAAATACCATGAATAGGAAAACGGAAAACCTAATTACGCGTGCAAAGAAAACATCTTCCTCGTTTCACATTGATGCAAACTTATTTATTTTTCAGAAACTAAATTTTATGACCAAGGAATAATTGTCCTGAAATATATTCAGATTTCCATACACAAATAGCGATAGAGGTAGAAGGAAATTTTCACTGCCATGCAGAAATCCTATTAAAGTTTCAATCTTTATGAAAAATGAATTAGGTTATAGAATTTCTCCTTGACTGATGAATTAGGTTTAGAGTACAATCCGTCTCCTTCCAATTCATCCTTTGCTTTTCAATCTTCGATACTTGGAAGGGGATTCCAAATCCAAATCATTGTTGCAAGTTGATAGCATGAAATTGTAGATTTTTTCGTTCATTTTTAAGTTCAAAACTAATGGAGTTTCAACTGTGTTATTTTTAAATTTGAAAGCAAATTTCGTTGGTTTGTTGGACCTCAAATCGCAGTTGATTTTTTTTTTCTTGGGGGGGTGGGGTGGAGATGACAGTGTTAGGATGGTATAATTGTGAATGTTAGGAGGCTTTCTCTTTAATATTTAAGTGAGTTAGGGCTATATTGTGAAATTGATGTGGTATAATTATTTTAAAAAAAATTATTTTAATTAGTGTGCATGTATAATATAGTGTATCTACTAAAAAATGTGGCTAGAGTCCAATTTCGGCAATAGCACTACTTACTGAATTTTCACGTCAGTACATACCGAAAGTCAAAATTCCATGGATAATTTTTCGACGACTACATAATTGCCAGCGATTTCCGACAAATTTACTCACATATGCATGTTATTGGAAATACCGACAGATTTCAATGGCAGCTATTAATAATAGCTTTAGCAAATGACTTAATTTAATAGATATTACCGACGAAATTGCCATTGCTATTTCCGTTGGTAAATTTCTACATCCTTTTCTATGAAATTAATTCCGTTTCTAATTTTAGATGAAAATTTCCTACGAAAATAAATGTGATGCAAATTCATATTAAATTTATTACAAAAAGAAAAGAAAAAAGAGATTGATTATGATATAAGTTTGTCATTTTTGTGATTTAAAAATATTAAATTTCAAAATGTACACCAAGTAATATGAAATAGTATGATACTCAATTTCATTGCTTCGTGTCATATGTCCAAACTACAAAAAAAGGGGGAAAAAAAAAATTTGACAACAGTCACTACAAATTTGCATTCAAGTCAAAAGTTTCTTAACATCAACTAAATTGAGTACCTTAGAACAAATAACAAAAGCCAACCACTACGGACAATTGATTAGCCACGCTTGATTTCTTCTACTACTCATTTTTTTTTTTTAAATAAATGTAAATTTTATTAATAAGCCTACACTTATGGCGAAGGCAGACCGTGGTTACAAATAGCAATAATAATAAAACTCAAGACAAGACAATCAACAAATACGAAAGGAAGGACAACCACTATAGTCTAATACGAAACAACCTTTTATAGTCTTAGGGAAGTCTCTAATATAGTAAGAAAATTGAGAGCGTCCATCTGTACCCCACTTAGCCAAAGAGTCAGCAACCGAATTTGCCTCTCTATAGACATGGGTGACATTTAAATCGATGAGGTCTTCCAGATCAACGATGTCATCCCAAACTTGCTGAAGAGACCAAGGAATATTTCCCATCCCATTAAACCAATGACAAACCATTTGGGAATCAGTTTCAACCCATACCTTTGAAACCCCCAAAAGATAGCAATAATACAAACCCAATTTCAAAGCCATTGTTTCCGCCATGGAGTTAGTGGCTACCCCAAGAGAGTGGGAAAAGCCAAAAACAAATTTTCCTTTCCAATCCCTAAGCACCCCACCACAGCCAGCTCTACCAAGATTGCCACAGCCAGCATCATCAATGTTAAGTTTAAGAATATCACAAGGGGGACGATACCAACGAACAAGGAGAGGAGCCTTAGTTGTCAAAGGAGTTGGAGCCATACCAAGACAATGGAGAGTAGCATGAAGATGAGAGGGAGTAGCACGTGATGGTCGCAGTAATGAATTTAATTCAACCAACCAGTGTTTCACTTTGGAGCATATTTTATGTCCATCGAACAAACCTTCATTAAATCTAGCCTCATTGCGTGCAAGCCAAAGCTCCCAAGCAATTAGCGCATGGGTCAAAAGAGCAAGTTGATGAAATTGCAAAGAACCATCAAATTGGTGCAACCAATTAATAAGTACGGCACACCATGAACTAGCAAAAACAATTCGAGCTCCAAAGATGTTGGCAAAATGAGTCAAAACATGAGTTGCTACTTCGCTAGTATGAAATAGGTGCTCAACGTCCTCCACTTTTGTATGAAAACAACAGTAACAGTTTGATACTAATGAGACACTATGACTTCTAATAACACTATCCACTGGTATTATACCAAACCAAACACGCCAGAAGAAGATTGAGATTTTTACCCGGAGCAATTTATTCCAAATCAATTTGAAGAGATTAAGTTTGTCCTTGGTCTTACGTAAAAGATTCCAAGCCGTATTAGTAGAGAACTCTCCTGTTGGAGTCGGACACCAAATCAGTTTGTCTGGCACTTGCTTCAAGCGGATAGCTAAAGTATGAATGTAAGCCATCAAATTGTCACCTCCCAGCTTATGAATAAGATCAGTATTCCAAGCATCCTTTGCACAAACATCTTTCAACTGTAACCTTGGCTCATTAACAATCCAGCCTTGGTTATATAAAGAGCCAAAACTTGTCTAGTTTGCATACCAAAATGAGATTTTTCCTTTGCCGATCATCCGCCTGCTGTGGTCATGAATAAAAGAAAGACGTTTACTTAAATTACGCCAACATCGAGATGAACCAAGTCCAGGTGAGTAAGAGTTCATGTTAAAATTTACAGTCAAATATTTCTGCCTTATGAATGTAGCCCATAAAGAGTCACTTGTCAAAACTCTCCATAGCATTTTACATTGGAATATAAAACATCAAATAAACTTCGGACGCCCAATCCCCCTTCATAAGAGGGGAAATAGATTTTCTTCCAAGGAATCCAATGATATTTATTCTTCCCTTCATAATCACCCCAGAAAAAATTAGCAAAGATCTATTGTAGTTCATGAATCACTTTATCTGGAGGGCGTATCACTGACATTAAATATATAGGCATAGAGGTTAATACAGATCGAATGAGGGTGAGCTTACCTCCCCAAGAAAGTAGTTTACCTTTCCAGCCTGCAACCTTTTTACAAACTTTGTTGACCATCGGAGCAAATAACGAGGAAGTGCAGCGACCATAAAATAGCGGGGCCCCTAAGTAGCTGAAGGGTAGAGAGTTTTCTTGAAAATTAGTAACAGATGCAATAATCCTCCGACGAGAAAAGGCTATTTTTCTACTGACAATAAAAGAGCTTTTCTGAGTATTTATAAGTTGACCAGAAACTTTCTCATAAGAATGCAAAAATTCCATTAACAGCTTGAGAGAGCCCCTAGACCCGTTGGTGAACAATAGAAAATCATTTGCATATAACAAATGTGAAACTGGTGAGCAATTGTCGAGAACCTGATAAGGGGACATTTTTTTTTCTTGTAACAAATTCAATAGTCCTCTCGATAGAGGTACTTCACTAAGAATGAACAATAACGAAGATAGAGGATCTCCTTGTCGAAGACCCCGAGTAGGTGCAAAGAAGCCAACTTGTTCTCCATTAATTTTTACTAAAAATTTAGGGAAAGAAATAGCATTATAAATAAGAGAGACCCAACCTTCAGCAAAACCAAAAGCTCTCAAGACAACCAACAAGTAGTCCCACTCCAGCCTATCAAATGCCTTAGCCACATCAATTTTAAGTATAGTATTACCTCCATGTGAGCGCTTGTTCAAATGCTGGACTAATTCTTGAGCTAAAGAAATGTTTTCTGATATCAAACGTCCCGCCATAAAACAACCTTGATTCAGAGAGATAATTCTTGGGAGCACCTTAGATAATCAATTGGCCATAATCTTGGCAATAATTTTGTAGAGCACCTAACAAATACTTATGGGCCTAAAATCAAGAAACGTGTTCAGCTTGTCTTTTGTTTGGATGAGTGAGATGATAGAAGCACCCAAGGCATCTGCACAAAGAGCCCCTGCAAAAAATTCTTGGACAGCGGCAATAAGATCATCAGAAATTATAGCCCAAGCATGAATATATGAGGATGAAGAGAATCCATTGGGACTCGGTGCAGAATCCTCAGGAATGCCCTTAACTGCGTCATACACTTCATGTTTCGAAATCACAGAAAGGAGCATTTCGTTATCCTCACTGGTAACTAAGTTAGGCACAAGAGAAAGCATGGGAGATAAATCACGACCACTCTCTATTTCTCTATCCAGATGGCTTTTAAAAAATTCAACCGCTGCTCCTAGAATTTGTTGTGTGTCTGTGAGAATACAAGAAGGGCCCATAATTTCACTGACATGGATCTTTTGTTGATTTTCACGAGCCATAGCATTAAATAATGCAGTATTGCGATCTCCCTCTTCAAGCCATTTGACACGACTTTGTTGTTTTCTATAGATCTCTTCTTGAAGAAGTAAATGGTCATAACTGCATTTTAATTCCATGAGCTCCTTAGTGACTGAATCATCTGAAAGCAATTGATTTTCAAGCAATAGAATTTTATCCCTGGCATCGTTAAGTCGCTGAAAAATATTACCAAAGACTACCTTGTTCCAGAGCTTAAGATCCCCCTTGAGCCTTTTAAGTTTAAAAGCCATCCGTTGCAAACCACTTAAATGACACTCTCTATTCCAAGATTCTGCAATCACATGAAGAAATAAAGGATGTTGAAGCCACATACGCTGAAAACGAAAAGGAGAAGGCGAGCTCCTCCGAGGATCAACCAACTGTATGAGCAACGGAGCATGATCTGAATGAGATCTCTCAAGATGATTAACAATACTATTAGGGAATTGATCTAGGCAAGCATGATTAGTGAGAGCACGATCGAGCCTTTCCCAAATCATAGACCCATTGCAGTTGCTAAACCAAGTGAATTTACTTCCCAAGAAAGGGAGATCATATAAGCCATGTGAATCAATAAACTGGATAAAGTCATTTTTGGCTACCCTAGTAACCGGTAAACCACCAGCTCTTTCTTCTTCATTTTTAACAATATTGTAGTCCCCCACAAAAATGACAGGGAAAGAGCTTGACATGAGTTGTCCCAAAGACAACAACAATTCTCTTCGAAGGATATAATCACATTTGGTATAGATAAAGATAAGACGAACCACCTTTCCATCCCAGTTCATATCTACAGCAATAAACTGGTCAGTAACCGCCACCATGTTGAGAATAAAATTTACCAAAAAACAAGCCCATATCTTACCCCCAAATTCTGTGTTAGTAACTACTTGTGGAAGACCCAACTTCCTACCAAACTTAGAAGCCTGATTCGAAGACACTATCGGCTCCAATATAGCAACAAATGAAACCTTAAAATTTTTTTATTAAGTGTTTAAAATGTCGAGTGGTGGCAGAATTTCCCACCCCCCTTGCATTCCATACAAGGAATGCACTCATCTCAAAGATGCTTGTGGGGATCCCCAACTAAAAGGTTAGAGATCGGCACCATTTTTCTATTATATCTGTTATTGGCTGCAATGTCTGGTATATCCGTATCAGAATGACAACCTCCATCCCAGCCAACGTCGAAAGAGTAATTCGGAGGGTCTTTTCCAACTTCCAAGTGCAATTGATCAATTAACACATCGAATGAATTTCCAATAGGAATGTCTTCCGCTAAACGATTGGGGAGCGTAGATTGGGGGGAAGAAAGGGATCTACTACAATCTGGTGAAATTTTCTCGATCCCAATAGTGTTTCCAGAGCTCAAAAGTCCAGTTTCTTTTAACCTCTTATTTGTCTCGACCTCATCCTTGGCATCATTATCTGTTGTAACCTCATTTTCCTCATTAGGCAGAATGTTGGGAGCTTTCTGCGAAGACTCCTTAGGTTTGTGTTTCCCTTCTAGTTTCTCATTGTGCAAGACATCTTTCTTACTTGGTAACGGCTTAACAACCTCTATAGCATCGTCCCCTTTACTCGGAGGATGAATTTCCACCGAGTTGTCCTGCTCATTTTTCAATGACTGTTCAACCTTGTTTTCACCTTTCTTATCAATCTGTAATGGAATATGTTTCTATGTTAGCTTTCTAACTGCACTGTTAACTCCTTGTCTTCTATTGCAGCTTGAAATATCATGTCCATGAAGACGACAATGATTGCAATACTTGGGGGATCTTTCGTAATGTACTTCTTGCCAAAAACCCGATGAATTATCCTTTCCAGTACCAATCCAGATCAGGTCGTCACGTGGCTGTGACAAGTCTATTTCAACGCAAACTCTTGCAAAACTAGGCTGTGTAAATGTAATTGTTGGCAGGTCTGAACTGAGATAACGACCCAGAGGCTTGACCAATGCCTGTAAATACGAAGGAATGCAGAAATTTAGGGGAAGTAAAGGGAGACGAACCCAAACTGGAGCAACATGGGATTCCTCAGTCGGTTTCAAATCACAAGACCATTTAAACAATCGAAATAAGGAGCCATCAATCTCACGGGAGTCCAGAGCCCAAGCCTTGTTAAAATCCTCGAGGTTTTGGAGTTTAATCAATACATGACATCGATCTAGTAAACTGACAATAGGGACGGCAGACAATCCCCATTTCGTACAAATAAAGTGACGAAGGACATCCATTCTAGGCCTTGTCTTAGAGAATTTTGCAATGAGGGCAAACTGTAGGGTGCCTCAGATCGCTGCAATTCCAGGGGAATGAATATTATTGCTGGTTTACCATCCTTAAATTCTGGTTGACGCACTAAAGCAGAGACATCAACCAATGCTATGTTGGAGAGGTCAGGGCGATTTGCAGGAGTACCGAAAACCACAGCGGCATAAGATCATCCAGATCCCGTCGATTGTGGACCAGCCTTAGAGGAATCAAGTTGTTCAAAACACGGCAAAGCATCGTGGAGATCGGCCATGGCAGCAGATCCCACGAGGGGTGACGGCGAGGGATTTAGGGGTTTTTTTTCTCCAGAGAGTTTTTAGGACGTAAAAGTAGTCGAAAGAAAATTGCAATGTTCCCCTCCTTAATTAAAAAGGCTATTTTTGAAGATTAGGAAGCAAAATGATGACACTGGAAAGTAGTCTTCATAGTTGCTTAAGATTGACAACTTCTACTACTCATTATTCCAATTGTTTTTCTACATGCTCATTATAATGCTCTAACCTTAACCATAGTGGCCTATGTCCCTTTCAATCAGCAACATTTTGAGAAACGCTTGTCTTCATTATTTCTCTGGTGTTGAAAAATAGACCAAAATTTTGACTATCCTATCGTACCCCGTTTCTTGAAACACATGAAAACAATAATACCATGTGAAAGACAAGAGAATGAAAAAAAATATATATAACTAACACGTATAAAACAACATAAGTAAAATATATGTAACACCAAAACATGCAATACTGTGTTCATCATTAACTTAGAAATAAAAAAATAATAATTAATGTCAATATTGACAAAACTCTAAACACAATATCAATATTAAAATTCCACGAAAAATCCAAATATCTAAACAAATCATCATCAAATATCAATTTCTCTCTCTAACTCAAATACTCAACTCTCCTGAAATTAAGGTCAAAATAGCACAGTGTCGATGTTGTTGTCCTTGGATGAGTCAAAGCGATAAAACATTGACCAAGAAAAAAGTTGACGAGTTTACCACTCACTGCTAGCACACCTTGTGCTCACACCTGGTGCTTAGATTGCACTCGATGGCATGGTGGATTTCGCTCGAGCAGCAGATCCAGAATCCTAGTTCGCATAAAACATTGATTTTTGAATCCCTTTTTAACCTCCCCCAACCCCCCCCCCTGTTTCATGTCAAGAGAATATATTTTTAAGTTCAAATCCATATATCCATAAATCTCTTGCCTAAACCAAAGATTAAAAAACAAAAAGGTTTAAAGATCAAACACCAGTAACCTTACCTTCATCCATAATTCTTCAAAGTTTTGAAGTTTGGGAGAAGGGGCGCTTGGTATTCCAGTGCTCCAAAACGAGTTTGTTCTTGGTGATCCACACGGAGAGAAAAGTAGCCCAAAGTTACTGGAAAGTGCAGATCATACAACTAAAGGAGCTTCCTAGTGATTTGCAAGTTAGGTGGCTTGAGTTAGCGAAGGTTTAGCAGTATGTGAAATAATTGTAAGTTAACTTTTTAAGCAGATTTTACTGACAAGATTGCCTCGAAGTTTTTGGTCCTGGGAAGGGGTTTTCCTGTGTGATCATATATGGTGTTATTCATTTTATTGCATTTGATCTATACATTTGCGTGACTATTAAACTTAGGGCTAATTGAATTAAATACTTTAATCCTCTAGAAACAATAATTAAGTGACTTGTTACTTATATATTATTGTGTTAATTCCGCATATTTGGGTCTAAACTATTTTCCAACATCTAGCCTCAAAAAATATGCCCCTAAGTCAAAGCTTCAAGGTGGCATCCCATGCCAACTTCACCTCCTCTTGCTTTTCTATTGGCCAAGAGTATATATTTTTACACAGTACCAATAACTATTGAGAAATCAAACAATAAAAAGCAACTAATAAAATTTTAACAGAAAAAATTTATATGAAATGAATGTTTTGGCAGTTTGTTGGCTGAATGAGTACTGCCTAGTGCTGAAAATTGAAGAATTCCTACTAACTGCTAAAAATAATTATTTCTGGTAACTTCTAAAAATTGCTCTTGAAGTCCACTCCTAAATTATGCAATTTAGAGTGCATTATACATGCTGAGGTTGATGTCACCAATCTTGGTGCACAGATAAGAAGCAGCTAATGGAAAGCTTTCTTGAGGTTATTGTAATCAATTTTCCAAGAGTCCATTTTACTTGATGGTTCCATTCCAACATCATTCAGTGATGGCAACCAAACAATAGTTTGGTACTTAGCATTCATAGTTCACTCCATAAGGTAAATGATGAGTTCATCCAACCAATTCCATATCATAATGAGGCCCCAAAGATAGTAACTGTGAACTTTAAATGCTGAATTGAATAATGAAGACTAACTATAACAGTATGCTTATTCTTGTTGAATTCATTGATCTTGTAAGCGACAACCTTCCCCAGTTTCTCCTGATCCCAGACCTCCATTCTTCCTTGTCCTTTTTATGAAGCAAAGCAATGAACACCCAAAATAGAAGTCAAAATTAAAGGAAAATATCCTAACTAACAAAATAAAAAGCATCGGATAACTAAAGTAGGACTTCAGAGTACTAACATTCATTGCACTTATTGTTATAGACATCAATCTTCTAGCCTTTCCTCTAGACGCTTAAATCATATGAAAAATTGCACTCAAAACACTTAGCACATTATTTCGCTTCATAAAATTCACAAACTATTGACTTTGGATCAACACATTAACACATCAAACAGATATATTTCAATTAATTTAGTAACCCATGCATCCAAGTTGCACATTGAACAAGCACAAGAACATTACAAATATATATTTCTACAAAATATTTTTCCATCTTAACCACAAAAAATTTAACAAAAATGAACCCAAAAAATAAAAAATAAAAATGCAAAAGGAACAATAAACAAGCATTCACTTCTCTGCTGATTAGTGTATCCACACATGACACGCCATGTCGACTTCGTACACACACATGTGAGCTTATACTAAACAACCAAATATATTTCTAAAGTATTTTATAAATGGCATAAACGGTAAAATCTAGATTGAAAATTAAATTTTAAGAAAAATCATAAAATAATATATATTAAAAATACATGTAATAAATAACTTTATTATTGTTAGTAATCCACAAGGATTTGATGGTGAATTACTTTGAAAACAACAAGAAATTTTAATTTCTATGACATATTGAACTACAAATATATCTTTTTCCTGTTGAGTCGCATTAAAGCTATGAATATGTAGAGTATTTTAAAAATTTATTTAGATTTGAATTTTGACTGTCCATTTGATTTTGCTGCAAAGGAAAGAATAAGAATACGGAAAATGGAATTTTGATGTGAGATATCTAGTGTCCAAAGATTTGGTGCATCTTGGTGCAATGCAAAAGGAGAAGCTTAGAAGAATTAAATTCACTATTGATTCTCAAGGTAGTACCGAAAATTAGAATCGATGTGTGAACCCAAAATCAACCCATTTAATAGAGAAATTGGAGCCTAACCGATCGGTTTTATCTCGTTACGGTTAAGTGGAAAATATGCCTACCCCTACAGTTGACTTATCGAT